ACGCGGAATCTTTTTAGTACGGTTAATAAATTGTCGTATGCCGGTTCCTAGTTGAAATGATCTATCCAGAACCAGAATTTTAATTATAATTAATATTTTGTATTTAATACAAAGAAAAATTAGTCATCATGTAAAGAGAGCGTAATCGCACCATTATTATTTTTCATAAAAATAGTAACAATTAATTACATTAAAAACAATTAAACTATATGAGAAGAGACAAAAAAAAAACTGTTTCATGATTATCGGCAGTTGCTATCACCTGTAATGTGATTGGTAAGCAAAGGTGAGGGTAGCAACGTGAAAAGCTGAGAACCATTTTAATAGGATTAAGCCGATGGTTCTATGCCCCTACTACAATCACAATCAAACGGGGTGTTTAACCCCTTCTAATTTAACCGAACAATTATGTTATGTGTATTAACTGATTTTAAAAAGTTATTTATTTATTTTTTTGATTTTTTTTCTGGGAAAAATTAAAAAAAAAAATGTATCTATATTTAAAAGAAAATACCATAACTTAAAAAAAAAATGGTATAATATACCTAATTCATTAAGTAGATAAAGAAGCAGATTATATATATATATTTTTTAACTATCATCACCATTATCATAGTCATTCCCTCTTCTATGACCGTTCTGTGTGAGGGTCCTGCTTATAGAGTCTGGTCTAGCTGTCTCTCTCCTGCACCAACTCTATTCTCCTATTCGAATCTACTCCACGCTTCCTGAATGCCTCCCTTATACTTTCCTCCCAGGAGATGCGAGGCCTTCCTCTGGGTCTTTTCCTTTCCGTGCTGGTCTCATAAGTCTTCTAGATCCTCCAGAATGTTCTCCGCCGATTTGACGTTGAGATTAACCCGTTTTGTGGCGTTCCGTATCCTATAACTCCGTGTCTATTCGTCTATTTTACGCAGATGCCTCATTTCCATGGCTTGTATCTGACTTTTGTGTTTTCTGGTGAAGGTTCACGGTTCTGAAGAGTACGACAGGATGTGGAGGAATGTCGATTTATTTTTATTATTTTTATGTGATATAATTTATTGATCCACGTATAATTCTATGTATAATACTTTTATAAAAATTACTGTTCCAAATGGAAAACTAGCAACCGACTCTCCAGAAAAGAAGAGACAGTCCTCTGCCGCTTAAGAATTGGGCATTGTGAATTTTCACATGCCTACTTTTCAAGAGGACTAGACCCACCGACCTGCGAGAGCTGTAAGGTGGAAAGAACTGTCCAACACATCGTCCAAGACTGCCCAGTATTTAAGAATGTAAGGAAAAATCTCGATATGGCTCAGAGCCTAAAAGAAAACCTAGTGACAACGAAAACGCTATGGAAAAAAACCTTACAATTTTTAAAAATAATAAAGTTCCACTATAGAGTATAAATAGGAAGTGTTGCCAGTGACACTGCAGGGTAGAGGCAACAATAAAAACAAATAAATTTTACTTTAGTATTATTATATTGTTGTTTATTACTTTTATTTATTGTGTATAGTATGAATGAGCTACTCTATATCACTATTACTGTTGTTCTTGAATGCGACAGATTGTAATATATCTCAATAAAGACTATTAAAAAAAAAACATATATATATTTATATGTTTCAATATCAGCAATGGCTTGTTCCGCCTCAAAAATTAAATGATATTAATAAAATTTAATTTTGTTTTGATTTTTTGTGTTCCTTTTTTTGTTTTGTCGCTTCTCACATAGTTTTATTGTTTTTGTGTAATTAATTGTTATTCATTAAAAATATATAAAATGATGGCTATGACCTTCCCTTCTTCGACTGTAATTTAATTTTTGTTGTTTTGTTTGTTTAAAACACAAAATGTTAAATAATGTCAAACCTCCGGACAAATCTTACAAACTAGAGATCATAATTTATGAAGCTATGAAATAATATTTATATCAAAGGCGGTTACTGAATTACTTTTATAGTAATTGGTCAAGATTCGTTTAAAGTTTGGCATCCGATCGTGCATAAGAACTTAACTGGAAATAGAAAATTGTGGGTTTTAAGTACTTTCAATTATAAATACTTTACGTTATATATTTTTTCTCTGACTATTCGAAATTATTTCTAAATATCCTCAAATGTCAAATACTTCAATAAAATGTCATTTTATTTATATAACACGTACACCCGACGTTTCGGAAATCTTCATCATCAATAAATAAACATGAATTAGTACAGTCACAACCAAAGTACAAGAAAGCAACTGTAGTGGCATATGCCGATGACAATTCTATTTACTGTAGCTCCATCTACTAGATCTACTAGATACGCCGTATCTACGATATAGATACGACCGTTTCATAAGTTTCATTTTGAATTATTCGGAAGTGTGACGAACGCGGTATCTTCTCAAAAACTGAAAAAGCCCCTCTCGTTTCCGACAACTTAAGAACTGATTTTAAACGCACTAAAGTTCAAATACATTATAAAAACCTCATATACACCAATATTACAGAGCAAAACATATATATCCAGAATTGATTAAGATTATAAGTACAGACCTCCAATATAAAATCCTGAAATTACTCATTTTAAATTAGTAAATAATTCTTGTATTTCACGAAATAAAACAAGATCGTATCTTTTAAAAAATACTTATATAATAAAATACTTTCTAGGATTCAAGTTCTATCATGATTACGATTAATAAAACTTTACTTTTATAACATTAACCTCATATCAAAATCATCAAAATTATCCAGATTTACTATAAATTTATAAAATATCGCATTACCCTTGACTATTTTACTCAGGTAAAAGAATTTTTATGCCAGAATAAAAATATTCCCTATTTAGCTTTACAATTTATAAAAAGATATATTGCAGCTTAGATATTCCAGTAAGTGCCTTAAAAATATTTTAAACTGAAATTTTCAAAATGTGAAACGCTTATTATTAATTGCTAATAAATATTCTTATTTTTGACAATCTATTGACAATAATTCAACAATTAAATACATGTGAAGGTCCTGAAAAATATTTTCAATCTAATCTGGTGATTATTTCATAATAAAACAGCTTATTTTTTGGTATTTACAAGGACATTTATGCTCAGTTAAGTTGAAATATTTAAATTGATTTTTTTTTCCTAATCGATTATTTTTCAATAATAAGAAGACTTTTTTATGTTAATAAAATATTTTTGTATATTGTAGAACTGTAGGAAAAACGAAAAATATATTGTTAAAATATACATGAATAAATATATTCAAACTAATATATATATTCATAACTGATAAATGATTGACTGTCGCGGATAATGAAGAGAAGAATAGTTGGTTGGTTGAAGAATAGTTTAATATATATATATATATATATATATATATATATATATATATATATATATATATATATATATATATATATAATTATACAGTTCCTGAACTGTGCGGAGGTGGGACGGAATTTTGGCATAATTACTTATTATAACATTTGAAGCCCTTTGTTCTATAAAATTTAATGTTTTTTTTCTAATTGTTGAATTTCTGAAAATTTATCAGTATCAAAAATTTTTAATCCGAAAATAAATTAATTAATAAGACTGGTTATCCGTTTTTTTTTTTAATTTTAAAATACCTTCTGAATACATTGTACTTCTTATACGATATTTAAGAGATAAAACGAATATTTGAGTAACTTATGATTTTAAGAATATCTCATGCAGTATCAATTCAAGCGCCTTACTTTTGAACATATTTGTTATAAATTTATCTTCAAAAAAACTTCAAAAAATTGCTTTCAAATATATAGTGATATACTTTGAAGCCCAAAGGGCATGTTTGTACACATTTTAAAAGTCATTATGGAAATTCCTAATGTTGGTCATTATCTTTTTATCTTACTCTTGCCACTGTGAATCGTTCCACAATAAACGCCAGGAAAAAGTAAAGCTCATTAGTCAGACTTCAAGGTGCGTTCAGACATTTCACAGACCACGGGAAACACAATTATCGAACTTAACTCTAAGAAGGAAAACATCAGAAACAAGATACAAAAACACTGACATAGAAAATGTTTTACTTATTTTGTGAAATGTCTATAAGCACTTTAATACAATAACTGGGTATTTACATGGAAATAAATTGTGTAAATGTAAGCTGCAATAGATTTTAAGAGAAAAATAATGTATTATTTTAATATTTCACTTTTTAAATAATAAAAAAAAGGTCCATATTTAGCTAAAACTTGAAATATCGGTACGTCTAGGAGTGGTGTGGCCTGAGTGGGCTCCATAATGACGTATATGATTGTCAAACTCAATATTATCAGTTTCTCTGAGTTATTCTTTATGAACATACATTTAAAAAAGATAATAAAATTCATTTTAAACTAAATATTTCTATTCAGAGACCAGAAGATGAGAGAAAAACCAGGGATGTAACTGTATAGGTACTGCTCAATGTTGGTACTTCCTGTATAGTGATGCCCAAAATCGGTCTTGCTCTTGCACTTTGCAAGACCAAGACCAAGGCCGCGTAACTGTTTCAAGACAAAGACCAGGACTGGTAAAAAAAAATCGATTTTTAAAATAAAAATTAAGGCAAAATAGTTACTAATACTTGACAATCTTAGTTACTGTATGTTAATAATTGGTATAACCAATATACTTTTGCATTTAACTCCTCTAATTTTTCATTCGGGCTTAGTTAGGTTTCTCCTATCTAAAAAATACAGTAATATCTCTATAGGAATAAGCTAATAAGTAACTGCAAGGCTGTTGCGAGACTCTTGCGCAAGACCAAGACCATGACAAAGACTGAATTTGCAAGACCAAGACTCGTCTCGGTCTCGCATTTGGGCAACACTACTCCTGTGTGGCCCTTTGTAAAGGTTATAAAGTCCTCTGAAAAGTTGGACCGTAGCTTTATTCTATTTTCATAGTATCATTTTCTAGGTTTTAATTATGGTCAATATTTCTTCTTTAGATTTTTTTGTAGTAATTAGCCATAGTAAAGATAAATATAAATTTACCTGAGTTGGAGATGGAGGCTAGCCTAGTGGCTATGCCCCTGACGAAGTTGGAGGCGGCTAGCCTTGACGTGATACCCTCTCCTGTGTTCTCCGTCGTGACCCGTCGAGTCCCCTCAGGTCCTGGTCCGCCGATGCCCCGCGCCCGACTGGCCCCCGCCCCCAGCCACGCCCCTCGCCCCGCCCCCCGCACCGCCCCCTAATGATCGGTACCTCCTATGTCTAGAGTACACCCATTGGACCCCCGTACTCCTGAGGATGGATCACTCACGCGAGGCCGGGGATCACGTGAGCTGTAGTACAGTCGGTCGAAAGTTCAACATCAAGGTTAAAACTGTTGTTAGAACATGCATGTTTCATGCTCGGCCCACTATTTTTAGCAATAGGAAGGAAAAACCTAGATGTAGTAGGATTCGGACAAAAGAAATGTGAGGAAATATATAAGTTGTCCAACAAATGTGATATCTCAATCTTAAGTTTACTTTATTAGAGTGCTACCATTGGGTAGTTACTCAGCAAGTGTATTCATGTCATTATATCTATTATGTCCAAATTTACTTGATGTATTTATGTAATACAGTTGTAAATGTCATTAAGAAATAAAATAAAAAAAGTTTACTTTGAGCAGATACAAAAAAAGTATCTCTTTTAAGTAAATTAGCGAATGGGATGGACGTTTTCTAAAGTGAATCATTCTTGTCTAGGGACACATCCTTAAGAATGAGAAGGAGTTGATCAGGGGGGAGGGGTGTTGTCAAATAAATACTAAATTATACAAATAGTATTATTTAATTTGTGCCGACGTTTCGACCCACTTTGCAGGTCTTCATCAGGGCTACAAAAGATACAAAACATGGTGAAAATAAAATAAACGAATATAAGTAGATATGAAATAAGAAGCAGTTGTCTGATAAATAAATAAAAAGATGATATCAGAGATATAGTGGGTGATAATGTAGTTAAAATATCAAATATTATATATATATATATATATATATATATATATATATATATATATATATATATATAGAAGATAAAAACAAAAATGGAAAATAAGTATGAATAATGTTTTTATCTTTTACATCTATAATACTTGATATTTTAACTACATTTTCACCCACCATATCATCTTTTTATTTCTTTATCAGACAACTTCTTCTTATTTTATATCTACTTATATTCATTTATTTTATTTTCACCATATTGTGTATCTTTTGTAGCCCTTATTTATAGTCTTTGTAGCCCTGACGAAGTCCTGCAAAGTGGGTTGAAACGTCGGAAAAAATTAAATAATACTATTTGTATAATTTAGTATTTATTTGACCGCTCCCCCCGATCAACTCCTTCTCATATTATATCACGGTCAACCATCTTTACGTCCTTAAGAATTTTAAGTTTTATTTTGAACCATCGTCGAACACATCGACCTTTCAATCTTGTTTCTAATCCGTTTCGAACTGAAACTAATAAAAAAAACCTACTGAATTTGGGGTTCATCTCTTCTCAAGGATTAGTGTTGCTCAAATGCGAGACCAAGGCGATTCTTGGTATTGCGCACTCAGTATTGCAGTCACCTATTACTGTAATTTTTCAGTTTGAGAAAATCTAATTAAGCCCGAACGAAAAATTGGAAGAGTTAAACGCAAAAAGTATATTGGTTATATCAATTTTTTACATATAGTAACTAAAATTGTCAAGTATTAGTAACTATTTTGCCTAATTTTTTTTCACAAATACGATTTTTTTTTTCTTGCCAAGTGCCAAGATCGATTTTGGGCGACACTGCCAGGGATCATCGGAATTTACTCAAGTTTGTCATGATTGGATACATGTTTTCTCATTTCTACGAACTCTGTCCATTTTCTACCCTTATATTCTTCTTCAAAGCCTTATTCATGTCATAATGGCAGTTGATATAATTGCTCTGAGATAAGAACTGCAATGCTTTTCATTAATTAATTGGCGCCCAAACAGAGATCTTGCTTGGATTTGAAATAGTATAATCCATATACTTGAAGCTATAATGTAGTTACATCTTGTCTCTTTGTAGAATATTTTTATGTATTACATCTTCAAGTCATATTCCAAGTTTCTGTTCTTTGGTCGACATGAACGCAATGTATAAAGAGAGTGGTTCAGAGACATACTGCTTTAGTTTTAATCAAAAACATTAAATTTTACCTTAATACACTTATAAATTTGCTCAATACATTGCAACAAACGCATTTGCATTCGTATTATAAAAGAACAAATCACATAGGTTCCAAGCTAGTCATTTGGTTAAATAAGTAATTTTTTATTCTGAGCTGTTTCTGAAAGGAGCAGCGTTAAGGCATTGGCATGGAATAGCGAATAGAATCTGTGAACGGCTTCCATCTGAGGCTCTCTGTGAATCAAATCTCGGTTTTGAGTTTTAGATCTTTGTTGTGGAGGCTTTGGGTAAACAATCTGCATAGCACTGTTCATTTTTTCGAATTCATCATCGAATAATACCGATATGGAAACACGATTGATATATCTGTTCTTATTTTTAATGAATTTACCCAAGACCAAAATTACTCACTTACGAAAGAGTCTGAGTCAATGAGTCACTTCACTTACTGATTCCGTTTCAAAACGGCGAGAGGAATGCGGGGAAAAGATGCAAATCGAAATTAGTTGTTTCACTGGAATGAACTATATATTATTATCTGATATTTACCATTAAGCAACTACGTAAGCATACAAATCATATTTTATTAAGGAGAACTATTTTCGATCGTTTGACTCATTTGATTGAATTACCACTCTTAAATCACTCATGACTCACTCTTAAAAATAGGTCATTGATTCAGGTTAATTATCTATCAGCATCCTTCCATATTTCTATGATTGAGCATAGCTTGACCATAATTTAGATGGATATTAATAATAACAAAATATTCATTGATAAATGATTTTAAAATTATTATATTAATAAATAAATACTTTGTTTTTTGTAGATCCTTAAGACGAACTTACAAAAACCTATCCCCTAAGTAAATCATTTAGGTGATAAAAAAATGTCTTTCATTGAAGGCTTTCTCAATAAACTTCTATATTTTATTATTGATGGGAAGTGAAAACAAAAATATTTAACAACAAATTATTTAAATGAATATGTAGAGTTTTAACTTGAATAAAGGTATAGTAGGTATTCAATTCATACTGTCATAAACAGAGAGGCAAAACCCCGAAGTTTTTAATTAAAAACAATGTTTCCAAAACATTGATTTATATATTCCATCCCACCACGTGGCTTTGTAAAGTTTTTAAACCAAAACTTCAACAGTATGTAAAAAACGAGTTTTCAACCCTCAACTTCATTAAATTCCCAAATGCCCACGTACGTTATTTTTTAATATGATGGTGAATATTTTAGGAATTCCAGGATATCTCCCCCAATAGCAAATTGAAAAAAAAATTAGTTGGACCTTTGAATTGACCGAGATGAGGATATACAATTTTAAGATTTAGATTTTTTCAGCGTTACCAAAGAAGTTGAATAACTATACAAATTTTACAAGTATGCACCAAATTTATTTATATTTTGCAATACTATTACTGTAATCGATTTACAATCTTAAATGTTAATATATAATTATTATTATTATTGAAAATTTAAATTGTGAAATCATTTTTTTTTTTATTATTTCTTTTATTTTTTTTCTGTTGGCATTAGAAACCTTGTAGATCTTTTGCCGCCTTAGCATGCCTGTTCCATCTCTGGTAAAATAAGAGTTATTTAGAAAAATTTCATAGTAAAATTAATAAACACTCTTCGATAAATTAAATTTTAATTTTAAACGAAGAAGCTTTATTTAATACATACTTTTATCATTATATATATATATATATATATATATATATATATATATATATATATATATTTTTTAATTTACCAAGCTGTTAAATACCATTTCAGATATTTTATATAAATACACAGTATATATATATATATATATATATATTTCTAAAAGTAATTTTAGAACTGTGAGTTGGGTGTTAAAATAATTTACGAAGTGTATTATTTTTCAAACGAAAATTCTTTCATAATGCCACATCCGTTCAATCGAATTCCAATTAAGAACTTCTGCTTCAAATGATTAATGGTTTGAGCTTGACGGATGGCAATAAAATTGTTTTTGGATCGATTATGATCATTTTTGTACATAATTAATTTTAATTAATTGGATAAATAATTCTGGAACTTTATTGATTTAGTATATTATTCATCAGAGGGCTATACTTTATTTAGTATAACATTTTATACATACCGGCTTTTCTGAAATTTATTTGCGCATTTTTTATGATGTTATTTTGAACTAGGAAATATATTTAAGATGAATAATTTTTATATGATTATGTTAGATGTTAGGTTATTATTGGTAAAATTACAAACCAAACAGCCTCATGTCTCCAAAATTCGCCTGACTGTGAGAGAACCGTTGCAATGTTGGCATTTTGGAGGAGATTGTTTGCTTATCAAATTGCAATGTGTCAGGTTTGTTTGTCCTATCCTTAGCATAATCAAGGCATAATAGGGCGATTCGAGGTGGACCATGGTTTCCCCAATCTTTTTATTTCCTACCGGTTCTCGGGGTTTCTCATTCCACATGGATTGCCAGCCAAGATTTATTTCGATTTGAAGGGAAGGCCAGTGTCATGTGGTCTTAATATATGGTAAATGCTTGGTTGGTTACCACATCCGCGAGCTTATTGGCAGTGATCCCTGTACAAATGTATTTTACATAAATTTCATTTATAATATCACTTACCTTGGCCTAGGTGATCGTTATGCATATCTAAATGATGGCACCACTATGGAAGTCTACGTGATGATGAACGATTCAGTTGATTCATTAAAATGTGGAACACATACAAATTATCTACATAAATAGCAAACTGTCTTACGTAAATTCAAAAACGCAATAAGAAATTCCCCGATTTTCATAACTGTGGTTAAACTCGGACAGATAACAAAAATATACTACCTAAAAAAAAAAAAAAAATATTACAACTGCATGCGCGGAAAATTGATATGAATAAAATTACTTTAATCTTCTTGATTAGAAACTTTATATTAAAATGAATCGCCGCTGTGGGAAACACCAACATAGATA